CCATCATGATCGGCGTGGGCGGGAGCGGCGCCTTGGCGATCCTCTGCTTAAGCACCGCCCCCTCCTTCAACAACCTGCCCCTGATGCCGGCGCGCGGGGCCGCCCACGGAGAAGTGTTATCCCAGGAAAGCTCAACAGCGTGTCTGAGAGAGGCCGACGCCAACATATAGTCAATCAATATCTCGCCACTGGGGTGTTCACCAGCTGAAAACCACTCACCTTGCACGTAAAGGTCGAAGAACGCGGGCCCAATCTCATCAAACGCCATGTTCCAGTCGGCCATGATGATGAACGGCTGCCCACGCAAACGCAGGTAGCCGCCGATCTCAGCGAGCATGCTTAGATTTGCCCCCCGCCCCCCCCCCCCCCCCTGCCCGACGCCCACAGCGAAGTGCGCCGCCGCGAAAGCCACGTCGACTCCATTGAAGCGCACCCACTGGACCGCCCACTGTCTGGGCAGCGCTGGCACCTGCTCGGGGAAGAATAACTTCTGCTCGTCCGTGGGCACAACCGTGTGAAGATGCGAGCGCGAAACAACACCGACTCCACCGTGCCCTTGACGACCTCCATTGATCGTCCTCTGAGCCCGCGCCAGCGAGCCCTTCCACCCCTGCTTCGCAAGCTTCTTGCTGGTCTCCGTGAGCTTAGGCCCCATCAGGTGGCGCTCGACGATGCCCACGAGCTGCGGAGCCCAAGCTGTCATCAGCAGGGGAAGTGTGAATCTCAGTCCAAGCAGCGAACTGGTCCTTGGCCATGTCACGGAAGCTAATGCTATTAGCGAAGTAGAAGTTGAAACTTCCTGCACCGCTGCGGTTCTGGGCCAAAAACGCGGGGCATCCTAAATCACAGCGCTGCCTTCCGCTTGTCTCAGAACCTGAAGCCGCCATCTGCGAGGAACGCGCTTCTGGCCCCAAGAGAACTCCCTGCGTGCCCTCTGCCCCTCTCGCAGGGAGGGGTGAGTATGGCAGCTGGGGGGATGAGGAACTGGACCCCAAGCACGGTGCCGAGCTCCCTGGAGTAGCCATCTGCGCCGTACACCACGTAGGTCGACCTGGCCCTGGCACCTCCACCCACTTCTCCTTCCAACTACCGACGGAATACACATCGAACAAGATATCCTCTCCTGAGCCCACCTGGCCATCGAAGATGTTGTTCGGCGGAAGTAGGCCCACCTGGCCCTGGCTTCCATCATCCGCGTCAAACCACTCCGCGGAATCGCCTGCAGTGGGGTCCTGATGACCACGCACCACAGAAAACCACTGGTCGGTACTGCTACCCCACACGCGCGCGCTTGAACCCCATTGCCCTGAGCTGCTCGCCAAGGTTCCTCTTCTCTCCTTTGCAGCTCACCCACAAGGCGTCGAGGTCAGCGGATTCGAAGGGATCGGACGCAAGCATGGCCGAGACCTCGGCGTCACTCGCGAACTCATCCTGGCAGTCGAAGAAGATGTCATCAGGACTCGTCGAGGCCAAGTTGCGCTTCGCCTGCGCGATATCCACGCCCAACTTCGTGATGATCTCATTCTGCTTGGCGATCTCGGCACTGGCTGCTTCAATCGCCTTCTCTTGCTCTGCCCTGCGCTGCTGAGCCTGGGATTTCTTCTTCTCCAGCTCCGACAACACATGGCCCGCGTTCGTGTGCTGCGTGAGCTGTGGCTTGAGCCCCTGCAGCTGCTTCCTCGCCTCCTGGACCTTGGACGTGAGGCTCTCGATGAGCGACTTGTCCTTTTCCGCGTCCAAGTCCTTAATCGTACCCGTGAGCTTCTCAATCCGCTCGCGATGCTGGTCGGCCTCCAGATCCTTCTCCGACTTGCCACCCGCATCCTGGCCCTGCCCTTGCTGGCGAGGCCCTTAGCCACCTGCTGTGGCCAACTTGTCGAGCTTGGAAATGAGAGACGCGATCTGCTTAGCTTGGGCCTCAAACTTGGCGGCCCAGGGTCCCGACGAAGGAGCTCCACCGTTGCCCCCTTTACCCCCTGCGGCCTTGTCTGCCGCCTTTGCCTTGTCCACAGTCGATCTCGGCGCCGAGGCTCCACATGCACATTTGCTTGCGAAGCCCAACTAGCCGACCTGCCACATTGCCCACATCCCCAGTGCGGGGTTTTCGGCCCCTTGAGGACTGTGCGGTCATCTGCGCCCATGAGCAAAATGCCACTCAAGTCTCCCTGCTCCCTCGGGAGCGACGTGAAAAGGGGTGCTCCAGCAGGAGCTCACACAGAGAAAGCTGAAAGCTGGCCGAGGAGCCAGGCCTCGGAAGGGGCTGCCCTTCCCCTCGACCTCGAGCCTCGGGAGTCGGGACCCACGGGAGGTAAGCTCCGTGAGACTTGAGCCAAAATGGCTACGGCCCTCCTCCTCCTCTTCCTCCTCCTCCTCCTCCTCCTCCTCCTCCCCCTCCTCCTCCTCCTCCTCCTCCTCCTCCCCTCTTCCTCCTCCTCCTCCTCCTCCTCCTCCTCCTCCTCCTCTTTCTCCTCCTCTTTCTCCTCCTCTTTCTCCTCCTCCTCCTCCTCCTTTTCCTTCCCCTCCTCCTCCTCCCCTCTTTCTCTACTCGAGCACATGCGGCTCGAGGGTCGTCCGTAGCAGTTTGGCCACCCGCCGGCTCTCGTCGTCGCACCTGTCGCTTCCACGCAGCGCTAGAGGGGCACCTCGCCGCCGGCACTCGTTCGATGCTCTCGGTGGCGAAAGCAAGCAATCTGCAGACAGCACGTGTGGCTCAAGACATTTGTCTCAAATTGTTTGTGTTCAGCGTAGCGTTCCGTGCACAATACTAGGGGTCGATCCCTGCGCTACGGAAAAAGCGTGGAAAAAGGATTCAGAGAAAGCACTTGCTTCATATTGAACGGTTTTCCATGCTGCAGGTTGGGCGCGCTCTGCCCTCCCTGACGGTCAAAATGCGAGCGGCTTTCTTCCCGGTCGCATGCCGCAGGGGATCAGTGGCCGCATTCTTCAAACCGATATGGGCTCGCTCTCTCGTCCTTCAGGTGGAATGCCATTCTCGATAGCCTTGAACCGTGCGTACTCATCTACAGCATTTCTCTTGTTTATATGTGTATTTGCCAAGATCCGTTTCCACATCATCGTGCAGAGTGTCGCGATGGTCATCATTCATGTGCCTCGTTGATTATTGCGCAAAGTCTGGGTGGTCATTTCGAGGCAGTCTTTTTCTTTTACACTTCAATGCGTTGCACTTGCACTTCAATGAATGCAGGGCCTGTTGGGGAGGAGCATGGTCTGGTAGCTGGCTGTCAGTATGTGTGATTCGTCACTTCTGGCATGCGGTCCTCCTGAAATAGGCTGAACTCAACTGATTCAGTGCCGTTTGTGGGGAGGGGCATGCTTTGGTGAGCTGTGGCTCGTCATGTTCTGTTTCACGAGGTGTTCGCGCATATTGCCCGTGCCGTTTGAAAATTCTGGGGTTACATCCCTTCGTTGGCCGAATCGGCTGGCACTTTGTTTCGGCATCCTGTGCAGCACTGGCGGTGGTGTGGCATGACGGCATTTTGCGTTTCGTCCGCCTGCGGGAACTCACAGGCGCTCGAGTTCCCGCAGTTGTCCTCACGGGTCGTCGTGCCTTTTTCCCCAATCAGTGCTTGCACTGAAGGGGTCCTAGCGGAAATTGCAAGATCTGGCAAAAGTTTCCCGCCGAATTTGGTTGCAGGCTGGGTTCCCGGGTTCCCGGGTTCCTGGTTTTTGGTTCCGGGCCGGTTTCGGTGGGTTCCGGGTTCCCGGGCTCCCGGGTTCCCGGTCGATCTCCTCAGCGAAAGCCATCCACGGAATGGGGCTTCTCTCTGGTGTAATCTACGGCAGGTTCGTGTCGTGCCGACCCCAGCGTTGGTTTTTGACACCGCAGGGATCGTTCAACCTTGAACGATCGGCCGCTGCCGCAACGTCCGATCGTTCAACATCGATCGATTCTGGGTCGCCGGCGGCGTTCAACCTTGAACATCCGCGCTGGGGTCGCCGCTGGTCGACACGACGCAAACCTACCGTATGCCCCTCCGTCCTCGCCCTCCGACGCCGCCGCCGCTGCCGTCGCCACGCCGCGTGCTGCCGTCGCCCGCCGCGGATCGGGGGGCAACTCCCGGGTGGTCTCTGCTCGGGTCGGGCGAAAGGGGGGGGGGGGATAGCAAAGGGGGGGGGGGAGAACCAGCTCACGTAGCTGATTTTCCCGGCGCCTCCCGGCGCCGGAGGCGACTGTGTATCGAGGAATGGGCCCCTCGGTGGGGCCGAAACTAGCTGCATGCAGCAGATTTCGTAACCCCCCTTTCCCAATCCCCCCCTTTCGTCCGGCCCGATCTTCCCGGGAGGAGGTGGGGGCCGGCCGGGCCCGAGCGAAGGGCCGTCGGGCCGCCCCAGGCTGGATATTCGGTGGCGGCCACGAAGAGGGGGGGGGCGCAAAAATCATGGCCGGCGGCGTGTGCGGGACGCAAGGGAAAAAGAAGAGGCGCCATGAAAGCTGAGGAAATATCCTGGCCCACGCCATGATATCCCCCCCCCCTAGTCATCACCCCCCTCTTTGCCGCCACCGATGGATTGGCCAAGATCAGGCGGAGCCGGGACCTGGACAACATCGGACCAGGGCAGATCGGCGATCTCGGAGGCCCAGCAGGATGTGTCGGGCGCCGCGGTCGATCCAGAGCGCTCCGGGACTCTCCGGGAGCGCGCCAGAACGCGCTGGAAGATCCTGGCGCCGCCCGGCAAAGTCAAGATGGATCAGGCCAGATCGAGCAGGATCTGGCCGGGTGGGGATGGCCTCCGACCACGGATGCACCCGCGCCGATGCAGGATTCGGCCTAAGTCGACGGTGGACAAAGCTCCCTCTAGTAAACCTCCCTGTAGTGAAAACGGCCTGGGACCGAAACCGACGGACCTGGACCCGCAAAAATGACGGTCGCGACGCCCCCTCGCGAACCGAAAACGGCCAATTCCTTAATCGACGTGTCAGGGTAGAAGGTCTGTCCATCCCCGACTACGAGGAGTGGCAGCCTGGCCGGGGGGGGGTCCTCGAAGGACTCGCCACCGAGCATCCCCTGCAGCGCCTGGGGCCGGCGGGTCGCGCTGCCGCACCCGTCGCTGCCTCCGCTCTGGATAGGAGGCTCGAGGAGTCTCGACGACGACGGCACTGGGCTCGGGTCGGGCACATCCTCCTACGGGCGGACTTTGGAACAAAAGACAGGATTGTCAGAAAAGACGCGAAAATAGCCCAAAGGGCACGAAACATCGTCCCCCGACTATTCTGTTGTATTCTTGCAGTTCCCTCCTGCAGTGGGGCATGCCCGACTTAACGCTGGGCAAGAGCGGGGCCAGAGCCAACTGCACTTTTCATCCCGAAGGGCGCCGCTGCGTGGCGGGCCCCTCCGGGACACTCCTTGCTCGCCCTCCTGCAGTGCAGGTCGACCCGTATCCTGAGGATGCAAGGCTTTTTGGGAGGCCCATGTTCGCGCTTTTCGAACTGAGGTTGGCCAGCGAAGGTCGCTGAGAGTGGGCCGAACGGGGCAGGGATGCAGGGGCAGCCTTGAGGAAGTCGCTCATCCTGACGATACGGGCTGACGGCACGAACGTGCGAAGCGAGAGACGAGGTCGTCGTCGTCTCAGATGTTTCTTGAGGGTCTCTGGGGGCCCTCGTCGCCACGTCAAGACGCGGCTCGAAAGACTGCCCAGGATGGACCCCAGGCGGAGAACGGAGGCTCGGGGTCGTCGGCGATCCCTCCTGCGAGCTCGCAGGGACGAGGCCCTGCCCCCACAACCCAGTCCCTTTGCAGCGGGGGCCGAACAACGCGGAATCTTCCACAAGAAACCCAACCCTGAGACCCCAGAACCTCCATTGATGTTTGGTGTGGGCACGTCACGCCTTCCGTCGCAGAACCATCGAGATCCAAGAAACCCAGGGCACCCTGGAAGCAAGCAAGGTGTTTCTTGGCATGGGTCTCCACTGCACGAGCTGCTGGGACACGCCGGCCCCCTCGCAGGGCCACCAGGCTGCGCGGCTCTGAGGCTTCCCGCGCCTATGCGCGGATTCCGGTTTCCAGTTTCCAATGTTGCAGTTTTACATTGTGCGCGTTCTCTTATTCGGCGTCTCGACATCGGGAGGAAAAGGGGGGGAGGGGGAGGGTCTGGCTTCGGACCTCTGCTTAGTGCGACTGTTTGCAGCAGTGCGTCCTGTGGGGGAGACTCCACCTGCTTGAAACAGGCGCCCAAAAAACAGCGAAGATCTACTCCAGGGAGGGGCAAGGGGGGTGCGAGGGCCCGCACCGATCGGCAAAACAATGAATAACAAAAACGATCCCATTCTGTTCCCTACTGTAAATTAATGCTGTCCGCGCGAGGGGGAATGATCGAAAACCACTTTGGCCACCACGCCCGCGTCGCGTTGCCTGAGTTGCTGATGGGCTTGGGACATATTAAAGATACATGAGATTCGCGCCCCCGAGGCGATCATCACTGTCACGTTGCACCAGGCTCGCGTTCCCCAGGCCGGAATCCCGTGTGAAATGCACGGACTTCGCCTTGCTTGAGCAGGGACCGACCGTCCCGGCATTCCTATAGGCCTACCACGAAATTGTCTTAGAATCCCAAAAAGCTCGAATAACAAAAACAATGTTCCTGGATCGTAACAACGATGTGTTAAAACAAGACAGCCCCAGCCAGAAATGCGATTCGTGGACCAACATAATAACATAAGGTTCGTAGAACATTCTTTGGTGGGCCTATAGGCGAGCCAGGACGCTTCGCCACTGCTCGCCTTACCGAAACCTGAGTCCTTCGTGCAAAACACCCGGCTCGCGATGCAGTGGCCAGCAGCCCTCCAAAACTGCGCCATGATATTCGCGCTCCCGAGACCGGGCCCCCTTGTAGATGTCGTCGGATCTGTGCTTCAGGGCCATGACTCTTGATCGCTTACGCCAGATTCGCGCCCCCGAAGCTAGATGATACCTTGAACATTAACTACCCTTGGGTCAGGCGTGTCCCCCCACTATTTTTGAATACGTACTCCTGTAGAGGGACACGCCTGACTTAACATTACCCCCGACTCGCACTCCCGAAGCCAGGGTGCGAAGCGTCCTTGCTCGCCTCTAGGAAACCAGAAGGACTGGAGTCGCGCCCCCGAAACCATAAGGACTTGCGACCTGCCCCAGGCTCGCGCCCCCGAGGCGGCGCTCCCAGGAAAGTGCACCAGACTCGCGCCCCCCGAGGCCAGGCGCCCCCTCGCAAATGCCGCCGCGAGCACCAGCCATCCTCGCAGGAGGTTCCGATGCTGCTTGCTGCTGACGCCCAAGAATCCCAACATAGCCCTGGTGTGTCTAGTTCTGGCAGAAGTGGGACCGGCGGCAGAGGGGACATCCCTTGCAGATGAAGTGCGTAGATGGAGCGTCCCAAGAAGGTCCAAGAGAGCCCCACGACGGCCCTGGAGAGCATGCAGACGGCTCCAGTTCGTTCCAAGACGCTCCAGATGGCCTCCAGACGTCCCAAGACGCCCCTGAGACGCCCCAAGAGGCCTCCAAGATGCGTCCCAAAAAGGTCCCCCAGACGCAACAATTGCCCCATTCCCTCCGTAAAACGGACATTTGTCACAATTTCACTTTTTAGGCTTTCCGACGCTCCAAGACGGCCCAAGAGGCCTCCAAGACCGCCCCAAGACAGCCCAAGAAGCCTCCAAGAGGGCCTCAAGACAGCCCAAGAGAGCCCCAAGACGGCCCAAGAGGCGCCCAAGAAGAGCCCAAGAGGGGGCCCGGAGGGGGGCCACGAACGGAAAGCTCGAGCCTTCCGCTCCAAGGACCGCCAGGAGGCCCCAAGAGGCCCCCAGGAGGCCTCAAGGAGCTCCCAGGAAACCCCCCAAGAGGCCCCAGGAGACCCCCAAGAGACCCTCAGAGGGGGTCAAGAGCCCTACAAAGATAGCCCCAACAAGCACAAATCACCCCGTTCCCTTGAGGAAGTGTACACTTGTAGCATATCAGACTTGTGGCCCTCAGAGCGTCCACGACGCCCTAGAGGCCCCCGCGGTCACCCCAAGATGGCCCCAAAAGCCCCGCAGAGAGCCCAAATACAGCCCACGGGCACCCCGAGACGACCCAAGAGAAGCCCAATACGGCCGAAGAGTGCCGCAAGAGAGCCCCTAGAGGCGGAAATCGAAAGGACACTTCGAGCTTGCCGCCACAACGAGACCTCCGACCCCGCCAGCAGGCTCCCAAGAAACATTCGATGGGCCCCAAGAAGCCCCCAATAAGTACAAAAGAGGCCCAAAAGAAGCCCCAAGAGGCCCCCTAAGGGCCCCTAAGAGGAGCCGAAGAGGCTTCAAAACTGCCTCCAAAAGGCTCCCGAGGCGCTGCGTCAAACTCCCGGGGAGCGGCCGGTGATGCCCCGCTGGCGTGCTCGATGAAGTTCGTAGATGGAGCCAGACGGTCAAAGTAGGTCGGGCCTGCGTCCGCCCACGCAATCGGCGATTCCGAAAAGAACAGTCGACTAGTTGATGAAATCAATATGTTCCAGAGTCCACAACCCTGCCGTCAACAGGGTCCACTTCGCCCCAAACACTTGCAACTGTCCAAAAAACGAACTGACCACAAACTTTCCGGAATTATCGGGTTTCTCCCGGGTGTGTCGCATCAAGCCCCCTGAAGCTCAAGCCAACCCTAAAAGGACCCCAAGAACACCCAGACGTCTGTTAGCGGGGGAAGAACGGTACACAATAAACTTGTCCGTCGCCGGGGGCGCTGCCCCAAGGCGGCGGGAAAATGTATACCTTGACTTGCCACCGAAAAGGTATAAACTTTCCAACCGCCCTGGGACAGGCGCCCCCGACAACGACAATTATCATTTTCTATCGTTCTTCGCCCGTCAAGTCTAGCAAGAAATGCCTAGCAGAGGAGGCCGTCGGGGTACAGGAGGCCCGCAACAGCCTCCGAGCGAGGCGCCAAAACGCTCCAAGTGAAGCCAAGGCAACCAGAACTGTCAACCAGACGCGTGTGTGTATATAGCTGCGATAAGATTGTAGACCCCCCCAACACTTGGAATCCAATGATTTGTTCGACGCCTTATTGGACTAGGGCCCCACCAATACTGGAAAATAGCTACTCATCCGCTGCACCCGCCGCAAAATAACGCCGACGACGACGAGTAGTTGGCGACCACGACTACTATCTCGACAATAACTACGCTTACGAGTACGACCCGGACTGCGACGGGATGAAGGAAGAGATTGTGACGCCCTTGGCGGATCATGTGTCGATATGTATTGCAATGGGTCGTCTTGCAAATGTGTTCACAATATTCCTCTGTCGTGCAAAGACGCCCAAAATGAACGATTCCATGGAAGATCAAAGCCCTCAGCACTACCCGGCCCGCCCGACATTAGAGGGAAACGTATCTCCGCCGCGACGACGACGACGACGACTACGGTAACGACCGCGAGGAGGAGCAGGGGGACGAGGGAGAAAAGGAGGAGGAGGAGGAGGAGGAGGAAGAGGAGGAAGAGGAAGAGGGGCGTGCCTTTTTCCCCGTCGAAAACATCAGGGGGGAACGAAACACCTCCCTGGGTTATAACAGCGACTACAATCACGACTACAACCATTAGAACTGATTTCAAGTGAGCTCCTCATGAGAAGATGCTCACGAAGCCTTTCGCGTGTAGGGTCGCCCAAATTGGATTATCCCCTGGGAGAGAACAAAAACAAACATTACCCAGCCCGCCTAACAGTAGAGGGACACATCTCCGCCGCGACGACGACGACGCCGACGCCGACGACTACGGGGACGACCGCGAGGAGGGGGACGAGGAGGAGCAGGAGAAGCAGAAGGAGGCAAGGGAAGGGCAGGTAGGTCGGGCTGCGGAGGCGCGGCTTTGTCCCGAGGGCAGAGCGCGCCGTGACGCCCGCCGCGGCCGCGCTCCCGCACGCCTGCTGAGGCCAGCAGGCGCGCCCCCTCTCAGAGGACGAGGGGGGCGGAGACGCTGAACACGATGTCCAGCGAGAGGTCGCACTCGTAGACCTTCAGGTCGGAGTGGGCCCGCTGCAGCGTGCTCAAGAACGCGTGCTCGTACTTG